GGTAGGATAACCTTGGTATGCCAACACGGCATTTAATTTTCAATGATTTATTCACGTCATGCATTCTGGAATTAATGTAACTAATTTATTCATCTTCCCTCATAAGGGTATCATTGAAACGTACGCGTTGCTAGTAAGTGCAGAATAATTTATGTGATTAAAGGATTTCTACTATCATTTGGGTTTCCTTCTATCAATTATTAATGAAAACTGCAGATTCTTCTGTTTACTTCTATGTCCTGTTCAAGTAATTGTCCCGAATGTTCTCACGCTTACTACACTTTTAAATACACTGCTAAACATTGAAAGATCAGTCTCTTTTTGAAAGATATACATAAGCTGCAAAATTTTTTTGTGAAAAATTGCGATTAGAGTTCTATAAATGTATGGCAAGAGAAAATTCGAATCAAAATTATTTGATTTAGTTTAAGAGACAAACGTGCTGTCTCATGCGCTTGTTGAGTTTTGAAATGCTTCAGCATTTTGAAATTAAAAAAAAAAAAAAAAAAAAAAAAAAAAAAAAAAAAAACTTAAACCAATTGTTTTGTTGGAGATTTCAGTGATAGCAGAGAGTTTATATTTTGATCTAGTAAACAGTAAAATAATCATTTGGCGTCAATCTATTGGCGTCGGATTAATGTCGGGCGAACATTCCGGTCACACCATATAATCGATTTCCTACTCCAAAAGGAAATCTTCAACAAGATCACCTCTATGATATCGAGCATTTCTGACCATTAAAAGGAATGTATCCTCGATGGCCGAAGCGTAAGTTTAGACCAAAGATCCAGAGAACTCATTCCTGTACATTCTACCCGTCAACCAAACGGTTTATAAGTTCGTATGTCCACCTACACATCCTGTTCGACAGTCTTTCACACCAATTTTGTGATATTTTGTGAACAAAATATTGTCTTATGTTCTGTCCATATGAAGGTACGGAAATCGTTTGGCTCCAAACAAAATCTTCATTCTACTGTGGACAGAGGTTAATGTCGCTATATGACTCCAACTATGATGTAGATCCTCCCAGTTCCTCCACCAATACGGTACCTAACGGTTAAGGAACATATCGAACACATTTTGGTAACGAATTTGATTTCCTCCATGAATTTAAATATTAATTCTAAAATGCAAACGTGACTGGTATCAAATTGGAATAAGGTTTGACTACCGTCTGCAGCATTAAAAATATACTTTTTATACTTTTCTTTAAACTGTCGCTGAAAAATAAACAATGATCGAAGCCTATACTTTTGCGCTGTCCGAAGAGAAATATTCTTATTCAGTTATTGAAAAAAGATGAGGAAAGCAAGGTTTTAATATTTATACATATAAATTAAGTGACGTAATTTAATATGAAAGGAAAGAAACATCAAAGTTTACATCTGATTGGGAAAAGGGCAAAAAACGCATAGCCAACACAAGTAGGTACAACTCTGATTAAATCTAAAGTCGCATCTCGTGTTTTAAAGGAAAATGCAGTCCCCCAAAGAGCTATTGAAAAAATCTTTAAATATATCTGTAAGAACTGTGAAAAAATTATAAAATCTGATTTAAAGCTAAACAAAAACATGATGTTTATCGCATAACGTCGAAAGATGTTTCTCAGCTCAAGATCATGTGGAGATTGCTGTATGAAAATTATTTGGCAGGTGAAAAATGAAAATACATAATTACAGTTGAAGAGGCTTGGATATACGTATCTCATTACAATAGCAAAAGAACTATTTAATATCGAAAAAGACTGTATATGTTGTTTCAGAGGAAACAAGAAAAGTTTTTTTTTAAAGGTTTTATGGTTATTACTGGATTCTCTTATAACGGAAAACTTAAAATAAGGAAAGTAGATAAAAGTCAAAATTGATTCATATTACTATCAAAAATATGTTTTAACACCTATTTTGATAGACAAAATTCCATTTCTTTATCCAAGCAACCTTCACTGTGTTAGGTTCCATTAGGATAAGGCTCCAAGCCATACCTCTAAATCTATTGCTGTATATTTTGAAAAAAAATGAGAAATGAAACCTGAATGGAAACTATTCCCTTTAAATGCATCCCACCCAAGTCACCTCATGTGCCTTATAAGAATTACTGTGCATTTGGACTTTTAAAACAAATTTCTTTATAAGCGGCATCCCAAATCATTGGATGAATCATTGGAAGATTGTGAAGGAGGAGTGGAATAAAATCAACCTTGATGCTTTAAGAAAAGGACTGTAATCTTGGAAATCAAGATCTAATACATTGACTACCAATAAGTATTTGGACAATTGTGATAGAAAAGTAAAAATAACTTTATTCAAAATCAATAGTTGGTAGAGCCTCCACGAGAGGTAATTACAGCGTGGACCCTCCGGGGCATACTTTCCACAAGTGTTTGTATGACAGCTAGTGGTATTTTGTTCCACTCGGCTTGGAGAAGACATAGAAGTTCCTTCACCGATTTTGCACGGGTAGTGCACTCCTGAATTCGGCGATGCAACTCGTTTTAGAGGTTCTCGATAGGATTCAGCTCTGGACTCAGTCCATTCGATGAACTCCATTGGCACCATACCATGCCTTGGTTAACGTCGAAACATGACAACTGGCATTGTCGTCCTGAAACTAACAGGGGTCCAACCCGTAAAACTGCCACAACGTAGGAAGCACATTGTCATCCAAAATAGTGCAGTAGTCATCGGAGTTGAGCTTACCATGAATGGGGACCAAGGGTCCCAGCCCATACCAGGAGAAACACCCCTAGACCGTAATTCCACTTCCGCCGAACTTGACTGTTGGCACAATGCATTCTGGCAGGAGACGTTCTCCAGGTAGACGCCAGACCCAGACCCTGCCTTCCGAACGGTAAAGGGTGAACCTTGATTCGCCACTCCAAAGAACCCGTTTCCACTGATCTACGGTCCAATTTCGATGTGCTTTACACCACTTTAACCGAGCAGCGCGGTTGGACTTTGTGATCAAAGGCTTATGGACAGCAGCACGACCATGAAAACCAATGTGCTTCCTTACCTGATGGTATTCATTGAAACAATACTCCCGGATGCCTGTTGAAACTCCTCGCGGATGAGGGCTATCGGTTGGGTGCGGTTCTTCCGAATTTCTCTGGACAGCACTCGTCGGTCTCTATCTCCCAGTTTCATTGGTCTTCCGACTCGGGGACATTCCGACAATCACCGCTCACCTTCCACTTCTTAATCACATAGGCCACTGTCGATTTTGGGTAGTTCAGATCGCTAGATATGTCCTTTAAGAATCGGACACATTTGTGATACCCGATAATTACACCTTTCTCGAAATCAGAGAGCTCCGAACTGCGAGGCATCTTGCATGCGACTAAAGCCGATGCTGCTTCCTACACGTTATATAGCGGCGAAGTCCGTGATGTACCTTAGGACCGCAGATATCGTCATTTGCATAGGTGTCGACATACTTATTGGTAGTCAGTGTAGTTATCAAATGACAAGTTCTGCAAAATTAGTCTTAGCTGCAAAATTCAACCCTTAAAATGTTTCAGACTCATCGTGTATGTCATTCCTTGACTGCACTTAACGTGAAACATTTGTACAACATTTACACATTTCTAAAGTAGTTTTGTATTAGTTAACATACATGATATTTATTCAGAATTAGATTACAGATTCTGTTTAACAAGTTAACTGCCGGGTCACTTATATTCGGGTGATCGGCAGAAACTCTGATTAGGCGGCGTCATCGCCTATTTGTATACATACGAGGTAAGATAGGTATTTTAAAGAAATGGTTGTTGAATGGTGAAAAAAAGAAACGAAAATGGTTGTTGCCGACAGCTAAATTCATTTCATTCGCTAAACTGAAATGTGCATTCTTCTGTATTAACTTTTCTTTCTTCCTAAATAACCTATTCTTGTAAAATATGATTAGTAGTATCTAAAGATCATTTGTTATCACTGCGTTTATCAGCATCAGAATCAGAATCTGACGATATAATTCTATTTATAATTACCTTTCTGAAGATTCTCGGCCGTTCCTCATAGCTACTATTCGAATTTTTTAATTCGTAACAAGTTCCCTTTCACTGTTATGTGATCCACGTAAAAATAAGCTTTCCATTTTTCTTTTATATATTGCAAAAAATTGGGGTAACAATTGTAACACAAGTAAAATGTTAATCATTCAATTTTACGATAAGAAGAAATAATTTTCTAATCTCACACACTTTCTTAGATACTTCGTGCTTGAGGAAAGATTTTTACGGAATGTTTTATTCTAAAAGTTTCTAAACTCTTACAATCAGAAACAATTTGCGAATGGTATAGCAGCGCTGGTGGTTTGACGGAGATTTTCTTACAAACTAGCGTGGCAGGCAACGTGTTAATTATGGCGGAGCATGCAAGAGGTTCTTAAGCAATTTAGTAGAAAACAAATCAGCCGTCAGCAAGGCTTCATTGTCTTTTAATTTCGCCGAGAGTAACCCTATGGGAAAGATCATTGAAAGTTATTAGTTCAAACCGTATTAGGGCTGACTGAATGGATATTTCCTTGGTTTTCTGCACGTACAACGGGAATGGGAACAAGATTCTCACAGAAAGTACCCATGTAGGATTTCTGCCTTTTGGCCTAATAGCCACAATGTACTTTTCCGTCATTAATTAATTCAGTATCTTAAAGAAGTCATTTTGAAACTCCAATCATCGCTATTTAAGGAGATAGATAGTCCTTACGTGCTTTTCCATAATCAAGTAACTAACCAGTCTTTTAATTATTCGAGATGTCATGAATTAATGCTAATTTGTTTTGCAAGTAAGGGTTTTCTATAGAGACTTGTAGAATTTATTCCAGATATGAAAGAGAAATATTTTGTTATCGTGAAAACAATGTACAGATTTTAGAAAATTGAAAAATAAACTGAATAAAATGAAAAATGTATATTAAAATAATATTGAAAGCGGCATAAAATATTCTATAAAGTGAATTGAATATTGTGAGATACCAGAGAGACCTAAAAATTTACTTACATATAACATTCAGTTTTACTTCAGCAGTCAGAGGTTCTGTGACAGCACTGTTATTTACTTCGCATCTCAGTATTATTTCATTGTCCGAAACCTCAATTTCAAGTGTAAGGATGCTTGATATATGACCTGATATCACGCTGGTCACACTTGAGACCTAAAATATGAATACAAATATATCTGAAAAATAATCCAATATAAAACAAATTCTTATAAATATTAAAATTATACGGTGCAGTTTAATAATTTTTCCAAACACGAAAAATTATTTAAAGTTTGCCTTTAGATTACGCCTAGTTTAAATCAAATTACGTTTACTTAGATACTTATTTTATCGAAGCGTGTTGTGTTTAAAGCAAGAATTATGTTTTGCGCTTATTTTAAATATTAATATTAAGTTTTCCTGGACGTTAATTTAATAAGTGAATGAAAAGTGTTAAATGAATTTTATTTTAATGATTTTTGCAATTAACTGAAACTACTCTAATCTCCTTAATATTTTGACATTTTTCTTTCAAAAACCGTAGTCAGTAATGTCACTTCGTCTTAAGGAAAGTTTAGAATTTGACTGTAACTATTTTAGCGATTTTAAGGAAATGTTTTGAATCAAATGAAGGTTACTTAGTATTTTCCCAGTAAACTTTCGTACCTAAACAAACAACAATATCAAAACCTGGGAAAAAATTAGTAGCGTTAGAAGGAGGGAAAGGAGAAAGAAATAGCGTCTGTTGAAATATAGCAATATTTATATAAACTATCGTCCTGATTTATAGGCGAAAATTTAAGCCCGCCCGCTAGAAAATAGGAGCAGAAACTTAAAAAATTATGACCCTTTCAAAATTAATTTAAATATTTTTAAGAAAGCATTTATGAAGAAACTTTTATCCAGCTCATTAGGCTACTTAAAGCTCATTATCCAGCTCATTAGGTTATTTAAATCACTTTAAAGAAAGCTGTTTTTTCCCACGAACTGGAAGTATTTTATAGTTATCAAATTTTCTTATCCGTCAAAAAATTGACCCTTCTAAAATTTCACTGCAATAATTAACAAAAGCATTCCCATTTACACTTTATGTGTCAATATATTAATTACTATAGACGGTCAAAATGCGTAGCTAAAATGTGAATAAGAATTCTTATTCTACAAGCTGCACGTTTTGAGCAACTTTTCAAGAATTATCGCTTTATATCTTTCTATGTTAAAGACGAAAAATTACTTTTCTTGGATTGTGAGAGGGGCACCGTTGTTCTTGAGTTAAAATTTACAAATCGAAATTTATTCTTTGAAACTTACTTTTCAGTTAAATATTTATTTTGTTTCTGTATTTTCATTTTCAAAACTAATTTTAATTAAAATTTAAATTTTCTTACTGATTTGATTATTTATTGATTTTTCACATCTTTGTATTCAATTAAAAGTAAACAAAGCATAACCTGAAAGAATGTTGGATTAACCCTTTCATGATTCGAGGTTATTTAGATCTAGGAATGAAACTTTTTCTTGTATAGTGTTACAGTCAACATTCAGAGTTATTTTAACTTATAGATATCTAAGAAATGTAAACTTGAAATTTAACAAGTTCTTTATACTCTAAAGCAGTATATCTCTAACATACATTAACCAATTAGTGAAGAGAAGTATATTGTTGAAGTGTAATGCTTTAGACACACGGAATTATAAAAATATTTCTGTTCAAGGGATATACGGCTAAGTAAACTCGATGTATATTAAAGAACTACCATCGGCGTTCAGATCTTTGATGATTCAGATTAATTATTTCCTTTCAGCAGAAGTATGCTGTTTGCTGCATAAAATATGGCCATTTCAGCCTTTAATACATCAACAGTCGGCTGGAATCATTATCCCCCATGGACGTTTTAGGGAACTGACAACTGAATCCTATACAAAATGCTAAATCCTTCCATTTAAGGGCTTCAGACTTCTGCATGACCACCTTAAAAATATTACAGTACATTTTATTGGGAAATAAGCTCAAGGATAGCGAAAATTTGAGTCATTTAATCTAACTGCACGTAACCAAAAGACTAGCAGAAGGTAAACATTCATCAGTTAAAATGAAATAAATAATTAAACATTAGGTCTGCATTTAACGCATAGGGTTACAAAGATTCAGTCAATATATATACCGCTCTTTACACATATAATTCTGAAAACAAGGAATATTGCTCAACTTATCGTATGGTTCGATCTTGATTAAGAAAGGAAAAAATATGTTAAAAACACAATCCTCTTCGTTTCAACTATGCATTCACATTATTCGATTATCTGAGATTGAACGTCAAATCGTTTGAGTATACCGTATGATGGATATAGTTGATATATTTCCATACGCTGTACTCTAATGAAAATCCTGACAAAAGTCTTTTACAATATATTTTGTAGCAAATATTGATTTTTGTAATCGAAAGAGAATTTGATAGAATAATTCGGAACTAATTCATCAAGTCAGCTACTCCCTCGAGTCTAACTACTTCAACATTAGATATAATAGCGAATTGTTAAAAGTTATATTTAAATATGATGAAAATAGATTAAGCCAGTGAAAATTATAAAAGCTTATCTCCTTTCTAGCTTCCGCTTTGGCATTATCGTATCGCTTTAGCATTATCGTATCTTTATTAAGATGTAGTATATCAAATCTCTTCGCAAGTTCGGCTGCAGATGCAAAACGCTGGGAATGCATCTTCACCGATATCCCATACTGGAAAAAAAGTTGTTCACTTAAAAAGTATTCCTTTTAATAAATTGGAAAAATTGTCACTGACATTTGTTGTTTTGTTGAAAGTAGATGTTTCATAAAAAGGAATAAATCCAATGAACAATTTTCAAAATCATCAGAAAGGGTCAAAGCTTTCTTAAACGATTAAAATTAACTAAACTTTTATTCATTAAAAATTCTGAGGAATGCACAACTCATGTAAAGTTGTATCTGCATGTTAAGGTTTGGAATGCAAATATATAAAATACGTTATCTATCAGATTCAAAAATGCACGTTTCAAATGCGGGAATGCACCTAACCAAATTCGAATTTTATTCGATCAGCGAATTTTCTTTCATCTCATAGGTTGAAACTGATTTAATAATATTAAATTCATTTTAACAATTTATGCAGAATGTTTTAGGCTCAATTTTACCCCTAAGCTGTCTTAGTAGGATAAGGAACAATTTACTAATTAAAACTTTATTTACACACTGCCTGCACACGTATTTAAAATTTTCAAACCAAAATGAATTACGAAAAAAAATTCTGAAATTCTATTTTATTTGGACAACTTCTTAAAATGAAAATGTGAGCAAACAGATGTGTTTAAACCCGAAGCATTTTGAACTAATTTTCATAATTTATAACAACAAATTTATAAAATATATTTATATATCATAAGTGCTATATATGCAAAGATTACCCCAATAGCCTAAGAAAACTCGAAGACGAAATATATTTAAACTATAAATAAATAATATATTTAATTTCGGAAACGAAATATATTTAAATTTAAAATAAAACTCAATTAGTTTTTAAGTCACTACATTTATGATGTTCGAAGAAATTTCCAAGAAATTAAAAATTTTTTCCCTTAGTTTTTTCAAGTTTCATATATTAGATCCACTTCATCCTTCTTAGAACTGTTTACACATGAATATAATGAGCTAGATAGAATAATAACTTGGCAGTATTTTTTGAGTAATAAACCAACTATTTCTTCAAATTTGCATAACATTTTTAAGCCCTTTGTGAAAGAAATAAGGGTAATAAAATTGTTTTATTTTGCAAAACTTATACTTTATCCCCGTATAATTCAAGGTTGTTTGTGAAATAATCTGAGCGAAAAAAATTCTCTGCAATAAAACTGTTTTACTTAAATATTTTTTAAGTAAATAGGTGTTATAAACTAGAGAAAATTTACAATTTTAAGAAATTTGTAAGGAGGACAAATAAGTAAAAGTGAGACGAATTAATGCCTAAGATATTTTGTAGCTGTGAATTAAAATAACAATTAACATTGATTATATTGTCAACTGTTTTTCTATCACCTCATAAATATTTATATGCTTTGCCAAGTTATAAAACTGACGCGAGTGAAAATGCTTTTATTTTACGAGGAATTTAATATTTAAATGTATTATTTATCACTGCGTGCTTAGAATTAAAACTATTAAATATTACTTAAAAACAATAAGTTAGTCTTTAGTATTAACCGAATATTAGAAAGCATTGCTTCCATTTCTACTTACTAATCTCACATGTTTGTGATCTTCATTAGAAAAACCGAAAGATATTTTATCCATTTTTATGAAAATTATTATCTGTACATTCATTTACGTATTTTGATTTCGTTATGAAAACAGTTGAAGTAATAATTTTTTTCATTTTAATCGATATCTAACACGTTTTAAACATAAGCTATATCCATTCATTTCGAAACTATTTGCATTGCGTTTTTGACGTTCCCAGATTCTTACCCATAAAAACCAGTTATTTACTTACATGAAAGTTACTCAATGGTTATATAATCTCAGAGATTAGCCGGAAAGCTATTTACATCATATTATATACTGAATAAATTAGCTTATTTCTTTTTGCTACTTTTGTGAAGGAAAACGATTATTATTATTATTGTTATTATTATTATGATAATAATCGTTTATTATAATAATAACATTATTATGTAATTATCGAACATTGCAATCGATTTCCCATTATCATCATGTTCTAAAGAGATCTTCTTATTTTGTTTACAAATTCTTTAAATTCATAAATCTAAAATTTCAGTCTTTAACAGAGGAATCAAAAAAAAAAAAAAATCATAAGCGTACTCATAACTATTGCTCAAAGTACAAGCTTGAGGTTTAACATATTTTAGTACATACAGTGATAATAACAAATCAATAATTATTTGCCCTTTTTCCCTTACTCTATTGTCTTACAATTTAGATCGTGGAATCTTTATATTTTCTTCTAGTGAGTGATGTCAGCGGTGTAAAAATTTTCTCGTTAATCAAACGTCCTACAAATATTAAATAATGACTCTAGGGGCAATCACATTTCGGTAGTTAATATCAATTTTCTTGATGACAATTTTACACAGTATGACGCTTATAAATGCATGTAAGATGTTATGTGTGTAAGCAGTGA